CTGAAGCATCAGAAAACAAGCTTGTTCCCTCCTCAATATGACATCCCTGTTATTTCCCACCCCTTTAATTTTGATCCAGATGTTCTCCACCTGGCTTCCAGGATTGAAGTTCTGGACTTCCTCACTGGTGTAAATATCCCTGACATATAATGCAATTCCTCCTCTTTTCCTGTTTGGCCTATTTCTCTTAAAAAGGTTATACCCCTCTAGTACTACATTCCAATCATGAGATTTATCCCACTAGGTTTCAGTGATACCTATTATATCATATTTGCTTTGTTTGCCATGATAAAGAACACAACAGCAGCTGCTAAGAAAGAAAGAGACACAGCAAGATGAAGCAGCACTCCTCAACTTAGCACCTTCTGGATATGAAGTTGTAATTCAACAAAGCATAAGGGCACCAGTTTGGAGGAAATGCTGAGGTATACCACAGTGCAACCTTAAACCACAATTCTTCTCTAAAGAGACCTTATGTTAGGCCCTGAAGACCCAAACTTCTCTGTGGAAAGAGGAACCACTGCTCCAACAAGACAGACATGTCTCAGTGTCAGGACCCATATAACCCAATAACCTTAGAGGGATAATAACCAATAACCACAAAAACACCTTGTTGTGATAGAATACACAAAGACTTTTATCCCATAGACAGTATTACCCATCCAGGATTTTTGTTGGAACTGAAGATTTCCCCCCTCAGACCTTAACATAAGAATTCCCATCATCCAACCCCCCTCCCTGGCCGCAATCTCCAGCCTATGGTCCAGTTCAAAGCAACCTTTCATGTTCCCTCTTTCCTTTCTTGTATTATCATTCAATCGCACTTAAGGAAAGAAAGCATCCCTTGTTTACAGCCCAGATCCACTGCAAGAAGTGTAGAGTCATACAACTACAATCCTTCTCACCGCTGGTCAACTGCCCCTTCCCATAATTTCCCAAAAAATGATTCCAACATGATTAGTATCACCCTCTCAATAAACCAGCATGTTATCATAACACTATATCATCGTACCATCATATCATCATGACAGAACCATGCATATGGGTCTGACACTCAGTCAGCATGATCTTTTACCTCATAGGAAATTGTTTCATTTTCCCTTTAGTTGTCTTAAGTCTATATACAGCCAATGTCCCCAGTGATCATTTTTGTCCCATAAGAGCTGCTAACTCAGTATCTTGTCTCTTTGCCCAGAACAGCAAAACATGTACCGTATGTATGTGATGTCAGCCACACACTGGAAGAACCCATCCTTCTCCTTTACATTCAGTCCAGTGCTAGCCCAAGATAGTTCATATCTAAAGCTAGGAAGGTTATTTTATTATCACATGAGGCAGAAAAACCCACAAACATTTCTCCATTCCACACAACAGCAAAAATACAAAGGTAAAAAATAGTAATACTGAATCATTTGCTACCCTTTCATGATATTACAAAATACTGCAGCCAGACTTACTTCACTTTGCCTAATGCTAGGGCTGGCCGAATCCCACCCTTTACCAAGCAAGTTCCTCTCTCTTCACTGCAATTCTCCTTCCTGGCAGATTATTTTAAAAGCTCACCCAAATCCGTTATATCTTTCACAAAACCATTAAGCAAAATCTTAGCTCTCTGTCCTCTCTGAGCCCACAGCTCCCTACTGGTGCCCTCCAATGCAATCTGGCTTCTTGTGTTAGGGGCTACAGAAGGCCTTCCCAGCCATTGCTTTTGGAACAGCAAAAGCATCTGTCCCTTAAGCCCAGTGCACTGACAATTCCCTACATCCTTTTCCCAATCAGAGGGAGCTTTGCAGCTTTTAACCCAGGCCCTTTATCTCTTTTCTTCCTTGTTTTCTTAATCTTCTGTCTGGCTACAGTTTAAATGAATGCTTGACCTCAAGCTCCTCTTTCTCTCACCAAAAGCATTCCTTCTGATTAAAAGACAACAACCATCATGTTTTGTTTTAAGGAGAGATGCACCACACAGACTCAGAGTCTCTACTACAGCCACAGCACAAGCCTAAGAACATGGGCAAAAGGAAAGCAAGAGAGCCAAGCATCATATGACCCACTTTTAGAGGGGGCTACCTGCCAGAGTTCATGAGGAAGAGAGCCATGGTAGCAAAGGCAGAGCTCCAGCCTGCAGCCCTGGACATAAGCTGAAGAGAAGAGCATGAAGGAGAAGTGGGAGGCTTTAAACTATGGCAGGAGATTTACACAATGCCAAAGAAGGAAAAATGCATCTCCAGCAAAGAAAGACAAAATTTTGCAAATTTTAATTGTATGGGTATAGATGCTAATGTAGAAATAACAACCACTCTTTCAAAATAAATACAATACGTCAGACCCTAATGGGGAAGACACTGGCTAAGTGCAACCTGTGTGCCTGTTCTGTCTGCTGTGCACTTGCTAACCAAGTATTAATGGGCAATGCCAATGCCTCAGGTGCCTTTTCTGATTACCTTTACCTTTGAACTTGGCTTGGACAGGATAGCATTTCCAAAGGGAGGATTCCTTCAAAGGGAGGACAACCTGTCCAACGTTTGACTTGTAGATTTAAAGTACTGCTAGTTATTCCTTCATAAGGGACAACTCTTCAAAAATAAGTCAACTTCTGTAAATGAAGCTGCTATTCCACTTTAAGTGCTCTGGATGCCTTCTGTTGCATTCTGGGATTTGCAGTTAAAGGAAGGCCATTTAGGATTCTCAGCCAGAGTAGCTCTTAGATCTCATTGAACTACAAACCTCAGAATGCAAGAGGGCAGCCAAGGCAGTAATAGTGGAATAGCAGCACTATAAGAGTATAATGCGGTAATATGGTCTATGAAAAAATGAGAAATTTTGACACCACTATGTGGCAGCAGCAAGGAAAAAGCAAGGTTGGTGAAAACAGCTGGGGGCCACATGCAGTCTGGTAGGAATGTGATGCCCAGTCTTATCACAAATGCTTCAAAAGAAGGTCCTGCACCTGACTTGTAGCACAAAAGTTTCACACTTGCCTTTAAGACATTCATGGAACTCCCCTCCAGGCTGTTAGGCCCACTGGTTCAAAATGCTGGCCCAGAAGCAAGCCCACCCTCACTCCTGTTGTTGTATTAGCCAAAAAGCATTTGCCAGGCACCACAAGCAAGCTTGTGGCTCCATTGGAAGGTGCTGATTGACTATGAAAAATCCCTCCATTAAGATGCCATGATATACTTACTGCTTTTGGATGCCTTGATCTTAGTCACCAGTTTCTGCACACCAGATACATCCCCATTTTTCACAGCTTGGATCAGTTCCTGCTCTCGCCCCATCATGAATAAGGGCAGCTGTTCCTTGGATTTATGAAGCCATTAGGGTGCTATGTGGATACAGGTGCAAGATAGCTCGTTAAGGTAAACTTAAGGTAACTAGTTAAGTTTAAGTCCACAGAAGACGCAAGAGAAAAAAGTTCCCAAAGGAACAAAAATATATATTCAGAATACCAGTATGTTAAAAAAAGAAGTCTGTTAATGATGATAAATGCTACTGGGAGTTACACTCCTCTAAAAGGGAAAAGTGATGAGGCAAAACCTTGTTTTAAAAAATGCAATCAATTAAATGGATGATAATTCAGTACTTAGGGACTGAATCCCAGCTGTTAGGAG